CTTCTTTTCTTCTCTAACCACACTCAGTCCCCTAGTGACCTCACCCAACCCTGTAATTTTTAACACTGAGGCATCCCAAGTTTACGTCTCCAGCCAGGCCCTGCTCCCTGAACCCCAGGTCATAGGTCCCACCGCCTACCGTGACATCTCCCTGTGGTTGTCTCGGAGGCATCCCTCAACCCGAAACACAACTGTGCCCCACGGGCTCCACAGCAGCCCCGTCTCCATCAGGGCTGACTCCAGCCCTCTGGCTGCTCATGGAAAAGACCTTGAAGTCTCTGACTCCTTCATCTTATTCCCCACATCTGCTTCACCAGGAAATCACATCTGCTCTACTGTAAAACACGCCCAGCATCCTACACCTGTCACCACCTCCATGGCCACCAGATCCAAGTCACTGTCATTTTCTGCCCAAGAGAGTGTAACAGCCTCCTCCCTGGTCTTCCTGCTTCTGCCCTTGTTCCTCTAGACCCTTTTCAGGACGGCAGCTCAGAGCCCTCCAGGGGCCCCCTGGTTCCCTCCGATGAGCACGACACCCCAGTCCTTACATCCGGCCGCCCCACAAATGCTCTGACCTCATTTCCCACTCCCGCCCTCCTTATTCACTCTGCTCTTTGCAGAGTCCACGGTGGCACTCCTGTCCGCAGGCCTTTACGCTCGGCATTTTCTCCGCCTGAAAACCTCTTGCCTCCCAGCATCTCCCCAGCCTGGCATCGGTGAGACCGCCTGTTGAAAACAGCAACATACCCCTTCCCTCCCCTGTCTCTTCCAACCCCCTGTCCCTTTCCAGACTTTATTTTTCTGCATAATAATATGTAGAGATATATATGTATCACTATCTGATACTCAAATATTCTTAATTGTTTTTATTGGAATACAATATACGTACAGAAAAACGCATGTCCTAAGAGTACAGCTTGCTGCATTTTTACAGTTAGAACATACCCATGGGCCCAGCACCCAGACCAAGGAACTGCGTGTTATCAGCTCCGCAGAGGGCCCCTCCTCTGCGTTCTTCCAGTCACTACTGCCCCTACCCCGACCATGTAACCGCTATCCTGACTTTTACCAGGTTCGTTCTATTTTTGTACTTTATATAAATGGAATCACATAATACGTGCTCTTCTTCTATTTGGCCTCTTGCTCACAACATTATATCTGTGAGGTTCATCATGTTGTTTACGTAGTTGTAGGCCTTTCATTCTCATTGCTGTGAAGTCCACTGGGTGAATACATGTGCCTCTGGGGATGGACATTTGGGTAGAGTGGGCAAGATGGGCTGTTACGTGTCTTGTGATGAACGTGTGTACGTCTCTCTGTTGGTAACTCAGGACGTTATTTGTTTATGTATTGGCCGTCATGTAAGCAGCACGAGGCAGAGATTCTTCTCTGTTTAGTTCACGTCTGTGTTCCGAGTGCCTAAAATAGTATCCAGCACATAACAGGGGTTCAGTAAATGTTTGTTGAATGAATGAATGGATGCGTGAAATCCTTTTTCCTTCCCTTTTCATGTATCACAAGAGTCATGAGGCAAGCCTTCTCTCTCTCCAAAGAATACAAAAAAAATTCAGTTCTACATTTTGCTTTAAATACTTGATATGGAACCTCCAGAAAGATGTGTAACAATCTACTGTAGGAAAACGTCAACAGAGACATATGCCTCTGGACAGTTGCAAAAAACTACTCACCATCTGGTGGATACATAATCAGTATATGGTGGCTGTGACCTTAATTCTCTTGCAAGTCCAAAGTCAGCAATTTTCACAAGTTCTGGGCCCATACAAAGCAAGTTTTCTGGTTTCATATCCCTATGAAAAAAGCCTTGGTAATATAGAGAGGAAAAACAATAATAAATCATCGTATCTAGACATATTTGATTTACTAACAAGATAGCTGAGCCTCTCTGTTCTAATTAGGAAGGTGAACTTAGGAAAAAAATAAACCATATTTATTGTCTACACAGTGATGGGAGGTGGGGACCCTGCTTTCAAAATAATTTGGCGAGGAAGAGTTCATACAGTATATATGGCCATTAAAAATAAATATCCACATGTATTTCTATTTGTGGATCTGGTGAGTTCAGGCACTGGGTTAGATACTGCCACATGATGATTATCTCCGCTAATTTGAACAACACGCTTAAGGAGGTATTATGATCACGAGTGGGTAGCAGATGAGGAGGTCGAAGCTCGGAGAGAAGCAGTTTAGTGAAAGCTCAAGGAGCGCTGCATATCAGGCTTCAGTCAGTGAAGCTGGTCTTATCACTGCTCTACCACATTGTACTTTAACCTGCGATTCCTTGAGTATAATCACTTTGAGAAGTCCATTAAACACAAATGGAACGGCACACATTTGAATCAACTCCTTCCTTTAAAATTATTTAACAGCTCAGTTCTCCCCTGGTAGCTGCCTTGTTGAAACAACCCCAATAATTATAATGCTTATTTACCAATTTAATGTATAAAATAAATGGCTAGTTACCAAAGCTACATGGCAGCCCAATGAAAATGAGGGCAGAAAGCCCTCCTTGCAAATGTCTAAGGAGTAGGTAAAGCACACTGGTTGTACACAGATGACTTGTATCCTAATGACTTTGCAGGGTGGAGAATTAAGAACGGGCCTGGTCGTCAATTGTAGGTGATCATCATCATCACCAGAGGGTTTTCATGCATATTTGAGCTAGGAAGACTTTTCTAAACCTAAACTTTTTTAACCCCTTCAAAGCCAGCGTGGGCTCTCCACGACATCTACAACAGTTTTGTACTCTGCTTACCTGGTACTCCTTACTCAAAATAGCTACTGAGATCCATCCATTTCACTAACTTCCAAGAGAAACACATCGTAATTTCATAATATGAAGACAGGAATGGGAGCATGTGTGATGGTGAAGTGACATTAATCCATAAAATCTTAATTAAACCACAGTTGAGGTTTTCCCCATCCTCACTAATATAAATATATTGGTAACTTGGTCCTAACTTTAACTAAAATATTAGTCCATTTCTTTTGACAGCTACTGTTTTTAAAATATCTATTTTCTCAAAGGATTACATCTGAGATATTTACAAACTATGGCAAGAATAATTTAGCTTTTGTAAAAATGTCTATTGTTCTTGGAGTCTGGTTTCCCAAATCACTATGTAGGCACTTATAAAGCCAACTCTAGATTACTCATATGTTATTTACTTTCATCAACAATTTTTAAATTCCAAGCTGGTTTCCTCCTTCAATCCCTTATGCTCTGAAGTTGCTGATAGTTGATATATAGCCAAGGAATCTAAACCAATTTTATTACTAGCCTAAAAAATATCAGCAAAACACAAAACTCTTTCCAAAAATCAGAGAATTCCTGAGGCTTTTGATTTTCCACATCACACTTGCTTCCATTAGCATAAATTAACGCAGGCAAATATCAAGAGTTAACCATGCTGGTGACCAGAGTTTAAAAATGAGTTGAAGATCAGGAATCCAATATGAACAATTAAAATAGCATATATCCTTTACATTCCATGTAATTAATAAATGACTGACTTTTATCAATGGACTGTAATATATTTTCATGGGTTTTAGGCTTTTAAAGACCTTAATAGTTTACATAAGACAAAAAACCCCTGGGGATTCAGGAATGTTCTTACAATGTTTATATGGAATTCTGCATAGCATTTCTAGAAAATAAATTATTTCCTGTAGCAGTTAAAGGAGAAAGGAGAAAAGAAAATATAAAATATAGGATGAAACATGAAAGGAGACTAATAATGGTGATTTTTGAATGCCTATGCTCAGAATGCAGCAATGGTATTGTATAAACTATCCTAATTTAATATCTAAACATCTAGTGATGCTAAACTAGAATCATTAAAAATTAATGATCATTAAATCACTAAAATTTTTTGTAGTAATATTAACTTTACTTTGGTTTGATAGATATGCAAAAAACTATAAATTAAGATTACATAAATAAGAAATGCATAAAAATAATTTCTCCAAATATAGAAACAGCTAAATGTAAATACTAAGGAAAACTAGAAAATACCATAGCACAGGTGCTTTAAACTGTTTAAGTGTTAATAATTGATCATGATAGATCAAAGCATTCCAATCTTTTCCAAAAGAGGGACTTTTTTTTTTTCATTTCCATGGTAAAATTAGGTGGAATGAGGTAGCAGGATGGGGTTATGATGACTGAGACTAAAGGCTGATGATCAAACTGTAAAAAAATTCTGCTATAGAGGAAGATAGTTACAGATTATAGAAATTCTATTTTATATAGAATTATAGAAATTCTAAATTTTTAAAATAAAACTATCAGTTAGTAGGCACATACTCCAAACTTGTAGTTATCCAATATAATATTATTTAACAGTTTATATACAATTCCTATGCATGACCGTGACAGTAATCTAAAGGGGCAGGGCAATGAAACCTACCATGTTTATGGATAAATGCCAGCCCTTGCAATATTTGATACATAATATTTCTGATGACTGACTCAGGAAACAACTTGTTTCTGTGAAGAAATGAACAAATAAACAGTGATGTAATTCAATTTGTAAAAAGAATGCTGTACACTAAAGGTTCAGTTGTAGTATCAGAGCAGAGGTTTTGTATATTGGTCTTCAGTTGACATGGAAAAGAAGTTTACTTGAATAAAAAAGGCTTGTAGGGCTTCCCTGGTGGCGCAGTGGTTGAGAGTCCGCCTGCCGATGCAGGGGACACGGGTTCGTGCCCCGGTCCGGGAAGATCCCACATGCCGTGGAGCAGCTGGGCCCGTGAGCCGTGGCCGCTGAGCCTGCGCATCCAGAGCCTGTGCTCCGCAACGGGAGAGGCCACAACAGTGAGAGGCCCGCGTACCGCCAAAAAAAAAAAAAAAAAAAAACAGCCTTGTAAATTAATCCTCAAAAACAATATTTCAGGAAGTTAAGCTACCAAAAACAAAGTGTAAAAATACCACTAACCTCAAATAGCCCTTTACCATGTACAGTTGTTAATGGTTTAATTTATACTTTTGACATTGAATAGTATTCTAAACAATATCACTTTAATTTCCTTTTAATTTAGAAATCCAGAATTGAATCATGAAATTCCAAAGTTGAGTCTTTTTAATGTTCATTTGCAATTGCATTCACCACTTCCACTTATATATATATTTAAAATCATATGAAATATAATATTTCATGTATTTACACGTACTTAATTTTTTCTTCAAAATTCTATCTCAATATACCATGGATATGTTTATCATTTCATATATTTTAAAGAGCATAAATTATTATTAGAAGCCAAGAAGATTACCCATAATCCCACCACCTGATAAGGAAACTATTTTGATTTTTCAGCATTCTAATCCAGCCCTAATCCATCTGTGTGTATAACTTTTATATTAGGTGTCAATGTTACATAAATACAACTTTGGTTTCTGTTTTTGATTCACTTATAAGCACTCTTACAATCTTCATAATTATCACTTTTAATGGATACGAAATAATTACATCAGTATTATACACTGTAATTACCAACCTGTTCTCCCATTGATAGTTATTTATTTTAAATAGTTCAAAGAGGTAAGTGAAGCTTGGTATAGTCATTTAACAGAACACAGTAGCTATGGTAACTATGAAGATTACGTATCAGCATTTAAAAATGCCTATAGGGCTTCCCTGGTGGCGCAGTGGTTGAGAATCTGCCTGCTAATGCAGGGGACACGGGTTCGAGCCCTGGTCTGGGAAGATCCCACATGCCATGCAACTAGGCCCGTGAGCCACAGCTACTGAGCCTGCGCGTCTGGAGCCTGTGCTCCGCAACAAGAGAGGCCGCGATAGTGAGAGGCCCGCGCATCGCGATGAAGAGTGGCCCCCGCTTGCCACAGCTAGAGAAAGCCCTGGCACAGAAATGAAGACCCAACACAGCCAAAAAAATAAATACATTAATTAATTTTAAAAAGTGCCTATAAGTGAATAAATCAAACAAAAATGTATCACCACTAAAATTACAACTACATAGCAAATATGCATGTCTGTATACAGGAGCTAGAAAGAACTCTAGAAAAATAAACACTGATTTGAGAGGTAGAATATCCTTTACTTTTATTTTAACTGCTATTAATGTCATAATGATAGCAGCCTGAAACATAACAGGCATTCAATACAGTATTTTTTGAAAGAAGGAAAAATATGATTAAAGAAAAATTCACTGACCATCCTTAGACCTTGAGAGAGAGAGAGAGAGAGAGAGAGAGAGAGAGAGAGAGAGAGTGTGTGTGTGTGTGTGTGTGTGTGTGTGTAAGAAATAGAGAGAGAAATCAACATCATTCTACTGGGAAATTCATTTCATATTTTAGGCTCTTTTGCTGAACAGCTCTGGCTTTAGAAACAGACAAAATGGACATTAAACTCCCAGATGTGACCAGCAGCTACCACCTAAATGTTATCCTCTCCAAGCTCATGGCAGATGACTGAAACTCTCCTTCTTTAGAGATTCTGTTTGTATGTTTAAAAATTAAAATGAGAATTTCCTTGGGATTGGCAACACATTTTTATCATTCACTTAAGCATTCTAATAAACAAGTGTATTAGATCCTTTCTTAAAAGCAACTTCATTCTTTCCTCCATTCCTTCATTAACCTTTTGCAAGATGCTTGGGAGAGTAAGAAAGAAAATTTTCTCGTTTTTGCCGAAGGCCAGCTTTATTATTGAGTATTAAACTATAGATAGATTTTTTTTTTTTTTGCAGTACGTGGGCCTCTCACTGTTGTGGCCTCTCCCGTTGCGGAGCACAGGCTCCGGACGCGCAGGCTCAGCGGCCATGGCTCACGGGCTTAGCCGCTCCGCGGCATGTGGGATCTTCCCGGACCGGGGCACGAACCCATGTCCCCTGCATCGGCAGGTGGACTCTCAACCACTGCGCCACCAGGGAAGCCCCTACAGATAGATTTTTGTTTCAAAAAGTATAGATAGATAGTGTGCTTATATGAAATATTTACCTTGACTTTTAAGTTATTACCACGGAAAAATGGTTCTTCTACGTTAGATATTATCCTTTGATAAAGATAACTAATTTAAAGCTACCTCATGGACTGATAGATCTGTACATTGCCAAGTGTGACATAATGAAGGGATCCAAGGGACTCATGGAGGAGACAATAAGGAAAAAGCTTTCATAAAGACATACCTGTCTTTCATTAATTGATAGAGGTTTTCTTTCATATATTCAAATATAAAGTAAAGATGGTCATTTTCTCTGATAACTTCTTTCAGTTTAATCACATTGGCATGATTAAGTTTCTTCAGAGACTGCAATAGAGCAAATGAGCATAAAACAGAACATAAAACATAAAACAGAAGTTGGCACAATCTCATCAATGCTAGGATGATAAGTACCATAAGTAATTTTCCATTTTTTCTAAATTCATTAATGAATTTTTAATATCTATAAAAATTTCCATGTCTAAAAACATCTGGAACATCTATTTAAGTAAGCAGTGGGCTTCCCTGGTGGCACGGTGGTTAAGAACCTACCTGCCACATGGTTTCAAGCCCTGGTCCGGGAAGATCCCACATGCTGCTGAGCAGCTAAGCCCGTGAGCCACAGCTACTGAGGCTGCGCTCTAGAGCCCGTGAGCCACAACTACTGAAGCCCGCACGCCTAGAGCCCGTGCTTGCTCTGCAACCAGAGAAGCCACCGCAATGAGAGAAGCCCTCGCACCGCAACGAAGAGTAGCCCCCACTCACTGCAACTAGAGAAAGCCCACCTGCAGCAACGAAGACCCAATACAGCCCAAAATAAATAAATAAATAAATATATTTTTAAATTAAAAAAATGTAAAGTAAGCAGTAATTGTCTGAGTAATGAATATAAATGCAAAAATAAACCAGGTCAACAAAATAGCTACAAAACATTTCAGTCTGTCACTTTTTTTTTCCTTGGTCATTAAATAGGTTTAATTTTTTCTGCCTTAAATATGTGGAATGCCATGCAAAAGTCTCCAAAAATTTATCCAAGTTATACAACATAAAATATAAAGAAATGGTATGTGGTAATTAAAAAAATTATCTTTCCTCTGATAATATGGATTAAAATGCTCTTTTAAAAGTGAGAGTATACTTTTAAATATGAGGGTAGTTACTTTCTGTTCTCCACTGACATTCTGATGAGAAATGAGAAATTAGGAACATAAAAGAAAAACATAAGAAATATAATTATCTTTGGTCTGCTTCCCGCAGAGAACAGAACCATCTTCTTAGCTACCATCCTCAGAAATGAGACACATGTGAGGTAGAGCTAAGGCCTTCTGGGGTTCTTTTCATCTCTGGCATTTTACCTTAACTTCTCTCAAGTTCATACATTCATCCCAAGAATAGAACTTTCTCTTCATTCTGCAATAAAAAAAGAAAAGTTTAGTGTGCGGGGACCAGGGATTTGAAGACACAATTTACACCATTGGCTTTCTTACTCTATAATTAGTTCACTTTGGGCAAAAAGCTGTGATATCTCTTTTCCTTCCTCCTTAAAAGGAGATCATCTCCCTTCTGTGTATCTCAAGGCCATTTGGTGCAGGTTCATGACTGTGTCATTTCTTGGGCAAATTGCCTAATGACTTCTCTGTGCTGCAAACTGCTTAGCTATAAAGTAGGAACTACTGCATAAGAAAATCCTATTGTAAACTGCTTAGTTCAGCACTCAGTAAATACTATTGTAGATGTCCTTATTTTTACTGGTATCTGTGGTCAGCTACAATAAGGTATGAAGGGCATGACTACTATTATCTCTAAAATATCCTTAGTGAATCAGAATTTCAGTTATACTCATTCAGGCGCTAGAAATTTATGAAGGAGCTTGAAGAAATTGAGGGCTTACCACCTTACCAAAAGATACGTTTCAGTACTATAGATTTATAAATGTCTTGCTAAAATGATAAAAGTAAATCTAGCACAGTGCTCAATTTGAAATAAAATAGAAATCAATTCAAATATAGTATAAAAGTATTTTAGTAAATTGATCAAATCCATGCAAAACTATACATATAATCTCTATGATTCTTAAAAAGTAATTATAGAATTTTTAATCCAGTGTTTTAGAGGCTAGTTAATATATCCAAGTTCCTTTTCAAAATTTAGTACAAATTGAAACTTTTATTCTTCTTAAAAATCTGTACTAGCTGCATCCACATATACTAATATGCTACTTTCTTTTCAGCAGTTACTAGTCATCAATACTACCCTAAGGTAATGCATGTATCTATATGCAGCAAGTACAGACGTTTCCTTGCAAAACAACTATCCCAATTTCTAAAGGAATTAATTATAAAAAATTAAACCAATTTGTTAGAATTCCTTTTAGATTCCCTGCCATCTTCTCTTTCACTTATTGATTCATCCAACACCGACATGCCAGGGTGATGAAATCAGAGATGGCTACCCTGATGCTTCCCATCTCACAGGAAATAGACTTTAGTTAACACAAAACAGACATACAAATGAGCTTTCAGGATCATGAGATGAATTGGCCAGGCCCCAGGCCTTTTTGATGAGGCAGTATTTCAGATGAGACCTGAAAGACAGAAGGTGCCAGCATGTGAAGGCTGAAAAAAAGATTCAGCCAGACAGAAACAGCTAGAAAGAGCTGGGCTGGTTAGAGGAAATGAGAGACCACCTCAGGTCGATCCTTGTTCCTTTAATGCCGCGAGCTGATTTTCATAGCTGTGAGGTCACCGTTGCTGCTCTGCTTTTTCTCCCGTAGCACTTTACCCACCTTCTTACATACCATATAGTTTACTTTTACGTTTAGTCCTCCCCTCTCCTCACACGCAAGCTCCTTGAGGACACCTCCACATTTCTGCTCAGTTTCTGGCACAAAGTAAGTGCTCAATCAGTGTTTACTAAATGGATGGATGGATTTCGATACCCTCAGCTGGGCTCCTGAGGAGCTGTCCCACAAACAGGAGATCCTCAGGAATGGAATAGCCTCTCAGGTCCTTAAACGGCAGAGAGCTTAGTAATATTTGTTAATTTAATGAGGTGCGGGGATCTTACCAACACCCCCTAGAATGAATTCTGTTACAGATTATTTTTGGAGATGGCAGCAGATACCACAAGGTTTCTTACCAGTGACCTAAATTAAATTTCCCAAGGGAAAAACTCTCTTGCTTCTAGGCCTTCATACCTATTATTCTTACAGCTTGGAATATTCTTCCCCTCCTCTTGAGAATTGTTGTCATTCTCGAGATCTCATTTTATGGGGGAAGCCTTCCAAGATACCTCTCCAGCACTGCTCTGTGCTCCCATAGGCCCCGGTATCCCCCCATCATAGGACTTATCATATTTTGTGTTGTAACTTTTCTAATTTGTTGGTCTATTTATAACTCATCTATCCCATCCCCATTTGGCCCGAGCACCAAGTGTAATCGGAGCTTAGCAATTACGTGTTGAATGAATTTTTTTTTTTTTTTTTTTTGCTGTATGGCAGGCCTCTCACTGTTGTGGCCTCTCCCGTTGCGGAGCACAGGCTCCGGACGCGCAGGCTCAGCGGCCATGGCTCACGGGCCCAGCTGCTCTGCGGCATGTGGGATCTTCCCGGACCGGGGCACGAACCCGTGTCCCCTGCATGGGCAGGCGGACTCTCAACCGCTGCGCCACCTGGGAAGCCCATGTTGGATGAATTTTAAACTTTTTGCAAAGCCTTCCAAATGACTCATCCTCTTCTCATTCATTTTCACTCTGTCTTTAATTAGGGTAGGAACACTGTCTGGCACATAGTAGATACTGAATGTGGCAGACACTATGACTTGTCTATCCAAGAGCCACTTTTCTTCTCTTCTTTATTAACATAGATCAGCTTTAACCTAGGGATACAAAATGGCCACCTAAGTACTCAGTTTCCCAGCTTCTCTTATTGCTACGTGTGCCACGTGACACACTCCTGGCCACTGAGGAGAAACCAGAAGTCTTCCGGAGAGGGGTGGGGGAAAGCTTTTGCTTTCCTAATGAGAAGAAAGTACGGCAACTGACTGACAGTAACAGTAACTGTTTCAGCTCTTCCTTATTTCTTCTTACTCGGAACTCATACTCAAGGCCTAGACTGCTACAGCTATTTTTTAAAATTTATTCAAGTGTGGTTGATTTACAATGTTGTGTTAATTTCTGCTGCACAGCCAAGTGATTCAGTTATATGTCTATGTATATTCTTTTCCATTATGGTTTATTACAGAATATTGAATATAGTTCCTTGCGCTGTATAGTAGGACCTTGTTTATCCATTCTATATATGTTTTCATCTATCTGCTAATCTCAAACTCCAAGTTCATCCCTCTCCCGACCCCCTACCCCTTGGCAACCACAAGTCTGTTCTCTATGTCTGTGAGTCTGTTTCTGTTTCACAGATAAGTTCATTTGTGTCATATTTTAGGTTCCACATATAAGCGATATCATACGATATTTGTCTTTCTCTTTCTGACTTATTTCACTTAGTATGATAATCTCTAGGTCCATCCATGTTGCTGCAAATGGCATTATTTCATTCCTTTTTATGGCTGAGTAGTATTCCATTGCATATATATACCACATCTTCTTTATCTGTTCATCTGTCGATGGACATTTAGGTTGCTTCCATGTCTTGGCTATTGTAAATAGTGCTGCTATGAATGCAGGGGTGCATGTATCTTTTTGAATTATAGGTTTGTCTGGGTATATGCCCAGGAGTGGGATTGCTGGATCATATGGTAACTCTATTCTTAGTTTTTTGAGGAACCTCCATACTGTTCTCCATAGCGGCTGCACCAATTTACATTCCCACCAACAATGTAGGCGGTTTCCCTGTTCTCCACACCCTCTCCTACTGCAGCTATTTTTGAAGACAAAAGAACCTAGGTCTGTGATAACAGCATTGAGGCAAGGTATGAGCCCTGGGCTGCCTACCTCAAAACATTTTACAATGTGAAACAAATAAATCCCTATTTAGTTTACTTTTGGTGAGTTTGTTTTATTTCATACACCGAAAGCATTCCTAAATTATACACGTATGACTTCTTCTCAGCATTCAATCTATTTGACTTCTCAAAGGATGTGACCTCTCACTTCTCTCAAGGTCTTACCCAGCTCTATGCAGGTGAGGCCCAATTCCCCATTTTATGAAACTGAAGACTGAAACAAACACATGATCTTGCCACACAGAAGGAATAATGAACATTTTGTTATAGAAAACAAACCCAACGGTAATAACCTTAAATGACACCACGAGACCCAACCCTCATTCTCATTTTCTTACCCCCTCTCCCCGGAAGCCACAGCTTGCACGAAGTTTATGTAAATCTTTACAGTCCTTTTAAAGATATTTTTACATATAACTTTATTTATGTGTAATGAAGTATTTATCTGTGTGAATTTACATAATTGCTTAACCCACAAATAAGGAGGATTTCATCTCATTTTGTCTGATCCTTACACCTCATTTATTATTTTTTTCTCTTGTTGCCTTAGTTAGGGTCTCCAGTTCACTCTTGATCAGTAGGGGATACAGCAGGCACTCTGGTCTTAAAACCAGCTTTACAAGAAGTACCTCTAATATTTCACCTTTCAAGTCAGGGAAGTTTCTTCTTATTCCTGTTTTTCATTTCAGTTATTGTATATTGTACATTTACTTTATTTGATAATAATGGCTATTTAACAATATCTTATTAAAGTATTTTCTTATATATGTAAAGTTTTAGATCATGATAGTGTAAAGTTTTTAACATTTGATAAACATTTGTTAAAGCATTTAAATTTTAGATCATCATTTAGTTGATGTTGTAATCAGTTTCCAAGACTCGTTCTGGGGAAGCCAATTGCCATGTCATGAGGACACTCAAGTGACTGTCTGTAGAGCCCCACATAGAGAGAAATTGAGGCCTCTTTTTGTCCTTATAAAAAAAGGAAATTTGGACACAGAGAGAGGCATCGAGGGAAGTTGATGTGGGAGGGAAACAGAGAGAAAATACCATGAATAAGCCAAGGAGAAAGGCCTACAATAGATCCTGTCCTCCCGGCCCCCAGAAGAAACCAACGCTGCTGACACCTTGATTTTAGACTTCTAGCCTCCAAAACTGTCTCAATAAATCTCTGCTGTTTAAGCCACCCAGTCTGTGGCTTAAACTTTGCTACAGAAGCCGAGTATGAGACAAATGATGTTCTAAATTCCTGTGTTGAAGTCCTGACCTCCCAGTACCTCAGAGTGTATTTGGAGGTAGACCTTAAAGAGGTGGTTCAGGTTAAGTGAGGTCTTTAGGGTAGGTCCTAATCTGATATGACCAGTGTCCTTATAAGAAGAGATGAGGACACAACATGCACAGAGACGATCATGTGAAGACATGGGGAGAAGAGAGCCATCTACAAGCCAAGGAGAGAGGTCTTACATGAACCAACCATGTTAGCTGACACCTTAATCTCTGACTTCTAGCCTCCAGAACTGTGAGGAAATAAATGCATTGTTTAAATCACCCAGTCTGTGGTACTTTGTTGTAGCACCCCCAGCAGACTGATACAGTGAACCACCTTGGGCATGGGTGCTGCAGCCCTGGTTCAGCCTGCAGATGACTGTGACCTTGGCCCACCTCTTACTGCCACCTCACGAGAGACCTGTAGCCCGAACCACAGCTGAGCTACTCCTAAATTCCTGACTCACAGAAACTGTGAATTAATCAATGTTTGTTCTTGTCTTAAATCATTAAGCTTTGGGGTAATTTTTTTTTTACATATGATAGATAACAGATACAGTGGATTAAAGAAATAAGATAATAATAATTAATTCTATTTAATTGGTAAGGTCGGGAAAATTCCATATGCCACTCAGAACTCAGTTTGATACTATGAATACCATCTGATTTTGAGACCTATTGTTTCAAAGAAACAATAAGCTCTACTCTGTACTCAACTTTACGTTCCAAAATTACCTTCAGTTTCAGTTCAAATGTATCATGCATAAAAAGCAGAGCCCTTATATTTTTTGATTTGTCCATGTAGCTGGACAAATCAGAAAATTAACATATGTGGGGATCAGCTGAACTCCTTTTTGGCAGTGTCTTCTCCAGAATGGCATTACATATTAGCCTAACAAGCATGGGGTCTAAACCAGACTTCTCTCTGTACTTGTATACAGTCTCAAGCAAGCAAAGGCAAAGAAAGGTCGGCAGACTTGGCAGTGTTGCCCATGGTACCTTTTGATGGCCACCAGCTCCCCCGATTCGATGCTCCTGCCCATCAGCACACTCCCATAAGTGCCGTCTCCCAGCTGCCTCATGGTTGTGTATCGGTTCATCTTGGAAAAATAATGCAGCACAAGTTGTTGACTGAAATGACGTCCTTGTTGAATATAAATGCTTCTTTATTTTTGTTCGTTGTTGCTACACTGGTGACAGGCTTGTCATCATTAAGCACAGGCTCTTCCCCAAGATTATGTAGGTTCATAAGATATAGCAATAAGGAATCTGGCAAGGAAACGGTGCTTCCATTCTTGTGAAAACCCTGTAAAAAAAAGCAAAACAAGAATAAAAGGGATTTTCATTAAAGAACCTCTTCCAAAAATTTACTGGTAACCTAGGAAAATTATAAATACCAACGTGTTAAGCATGTGTCATTGAATCAGTTGTGCGATGCGAATGATGTTCACCTATAAAAGACTGATGGTACTCGCTGGTGAATGCTTCATTTACGTGGTGCCATGTTACTTATCCCATGAACGTTCAATAAATACTGGCTTAATGATTTGCATGATTGCTTTTTTACTGACTATATAATGTAATCTATATTAGTCCAAGTCAGATTTTGGGAAGTCAGACGCTCTACTATGTCCATTCTTTGAATCAATGTTTGCATCATATTTAATTTGGACCATAATCCCTTATTTGAAACTCCTGGGCCAGACGTGTTTGGAATCCAGGAATTTGCAAATTTTAGAAAAGTAATATGGTACGTAACACCTCCCAAGCAGCATCTTAACATGCCTGTAGAAAAATGTTTGAAAAGTACACAAAGTAAAATAAATGAAGACCATAAATGGCCTCGCGTCATTCGGGTCATGTTTTGTTGCAGATGAATTTGCACAGATTAAGTTTTTATTTTTTATAAATTTATTTATTTATTTTTTTGTTTTATTTTTGGCTGCGTTGGGTCTTCGTTGCCGTGCTAGGCTTTCTCTGGTTGCGGCGAGCGGGGGCTACTCTTCGTTGTGGTGCGCAGGCTTCTCATTGTCGTGGCTTCTCTTGTTGTGGAGCACGGGCTCTAGGTGCGTGGGCTTCAGTAGTTGTGGCACATGGGCTCAGTAGTTGTGGCTCGCAAGCTCTAGAGCGCAGGCTCAGTAGTTGTGGCTCACAGGCTTAGTTGTTACGTGGCATGTGGGATCTTCCTGGGCCAGGGAGTGAACCCATGTCCCCTGCGTTGGCAGGCGGATTCTTAACCACCGTGCCACCAGGGCAACCCCAGATTAATTTTTAAAAATTCATCGTTCAGAGCTTTGAGGGTTTCAAAACTACAGAAAAGGGATTGTGGATCTGTATATATTTGAAGGGTACAAGTTTCTATAGGTTCTGATTTTATAACTATGATTAAAGAAAACACACAAAGCACATAAAGCCAAGTGTCTACCTCATTAAAACAGCATTCAGTAATTTCCTCCCATTGTTCTGTCTTAGTTCTGCATTCAAGGAACAATTTCTCATTGCATACCTGTTTATCATTCTTATGTTGCTTTAAAAAATCTCTATCATTCTGTTACAAGGCTGTATGCTTAGTTACAAAGTGTAACAACATGTTTGGCACTATCAAATAGTTTGTTTTAAAATGCCTTTTACAGGGACTTCCCTGGTGGCTCAGTGGTTAAGAATCCGCCTGCCAATGCAGGGGACACAGGTTTGAGCCCTGGTCCAGGAAGATTCCACATGCCGTGGAGCAACTAAGCCCATGTGCCACAAGTACTGAGCTTGCGCTCTAGAGCCTGCAAGCCACAACTACTGAGCCTGTGAGCCACAACTACTGAAGCCTGTGCGCCTAGAGCCTGTGCTCTACAACAAGAGAAGCCACCGCAATGAGAAGCCTGTGCACCGCAACAAAGAGCAGCTCCCGCTCACCGCAACTTGAGAAAGCCCGTGTGCAGCAACGAAAACCTAATGCAGCCAAAAATAAATAATAAATTTGAAAAATAAATAAATAAAATACCTTTTACAGGGGATTCCCTGGTGATCCAGTGGTTAGGACTACATACTTTCACTGCCGAGGGCCCGAGTTTGATCCCCATTTGGGGACTAAGATCCCACAAGCCGTGCGGTGCGGCCAAAAAATAAAATGCCTTTTATAATCTGGTGCTTCACTCAAAGATCGCGGGGCCTCTCACTGTTGTGGCCTCTCCCGTTGCGGAGCATAGGCTCCGGGCGCGCAGGCTCAGCGGCCACGGCTCACGGGCCCAGCCGCTCCACGGCATGTGGGATCTTCCCGGACCGGGGCATGAACCTGCGTCCCCTGCATCGGCAGGCGGACTCTCAACCACTGCGCCACCAGGGAAGCCCAAAGATTATTATTTTTTCACTGTAGCATGATCTCCACGAAATAAAATCATAAAAATTGCTTCTCTATTAGATGCAGAAATTTAGGAGCGACAAGAATATGTTTTAGTTGTCAAAGTACCTAAGGCTTCCAAAAATAGGCTTTCTGAGGAAACATGGCAGAGAAGTGCACTAAAACTATGTTGTTTCCTTTATACAGGAACACATTTGTCCACAGGAAACTTTGGAAGAAGCTGTGGGGCTTTTAAATAACAGGGAGAGTGTGTTAATTTGTCATTTATTTTACTTCATATAGATAATAACCACCACTTCAAAGGCACATGATAGGTAGTTTAGGCCATGCTAACTCTGTGGCCAGGATCTTGAAAAAGAGATCACAATAGTAAATTCCAGTTCTATTTAGTGGTTCCTTCATTTTTCTCAGCTTAAATCTGAGCAAATGGTCTTAACACATGCCAGCAAATGGTTCCCCATTTGTCTGAAAATGAAGTTCTTTTGTAAGTGGTCATTACATTATACACAGACACAGATTCTAAATATTAAGGCATTAATATAGAGAAAGGTAACACCCCCGCCTCCTCACATATTTCCTGACCAAAACGTGTATTTGCTTTTCTTCATTTTTCCTTTATCTGGATAAGGAAATATAATTTTGAAAGCTCTTTGGGGGTTTGTTTTGTACCCTGTGCTATGATTAAACAAAACATGGGCTCTGAAGTGTATTTCTTCTGATCACTTAGACTCTTATTAAATCAGTATTTTGCATTTTATTATCAGCATGTTAAATTGTTTTTCTTTCTTTCTTTCTTTCTTTCTTTCTTTCTTTCTTTCTTTCTTTCTTTCTTTCTTTCTTTCCTTTCTTTCCTTTCTTTCTTTCTTTCTTTCTTTCTTTCTTTCTTTCTTTCTTCTTTCTTTCTTTCTTTCTTCTTTTTTATTTTTCTGCACTGGGCAGCTTGTGGGACCTTAGTTCATCAATCAGGGATTGAACCCCATTCACCACAGTGAAAGCGTCGGGTCCTAACCACTGAACCGCCAGGGAATCCCTAAATTGCTTGACATTCTTTTCTAGCTTTTCTGTTAAAGGTGACATACACTTATCTCTTTTAAGGAAATGTGCTTTCTAGAGGTTTACTGATTCTTTCTGGTTAAGTAACAATACAGAGAATAAATTTGTCCAAAAGGCCATGGTGTTTATCATATCAGTAAAATTATACAGTAAAAACACAGAGGGATTAAATGACCTATGAGCAATCAGAGAATCGGTGATGGAGTCAGTCTAATACTTGCATTAGCCTGAAGCTGTTTGGTTTTTTAGTGCAGTCCCCAGCTGCTAAACAACCCATTCTTGTCAGCTTTTACAATCACTGGTGCAGCTAAAGGAACCATCTCTCTTCCGCTGCCAAACCGTGTAGAATCTACTCCGCAATGAAAGCTGCCCACCCCCTCCACCCCCTAAAGATTCCTAACTCCTCACCCTAAAACACCAAGATGCTATAAACAACCGGGAAAGTGCACAGGGTGCGCCCCACCCTGGCTACACCCTGGGGCTACATTTGTCTCGTCCTGATACCTGGAAGGACTTAGTGAAAAATTATAGGCCAGAAACAGTGAAGGGAA